ACTCGCTGTTATTGCTATCTTCTGTTTAATTAACAGATTCCTCTCGAAGACGGAAAACCTGTTGACACTCTCAGTTTCCCACCTAGATCTTTTCGGGAAGGCCAAGCTTATAAGGCGCGCGAACGGAGCGCGCCTCAGTAGTCGCTCTTACGAATCTCGAGGAAATTAAAGACTAGAATACGCGAACTATTTAACGACACGGCTTTCTCTACATAGAATTGAATACGGAAATATCGGAACGGCTTCTTATAACGGACTTCGCTTTGGACTTTTTTTTGAACTGTTTGCTCTCGATAGGCGTCGGGGTTTTCTCGATAAAATTGTCGGACGTTGTTAAATTGCGTTAGCCGTTAAGAATTTTCGCGAGTGGTAACTATTCGTTGTTTAAATAAACCTCATTATATTAAAGTGACTTTTGCCTTCTATTCTTTGTCGGGCAGTCGCCAGAGCTTGTCTTGTCTCGAAGTTCCGATCCTAACAGTCCCTCACTCTCTCGCTAATTGTCCTCTCGCGAATAGGTTAAGTCCGCTGATAATTGAAGACGCTCTGAGATACGTGCGTCTTTCACACCAATGACTATTTGGTCACGTATTAATTCTTCTTTTAACACGCCATATTCACACGTTTCAGCGAGAGAGTATAATGCTGTGACAAATGAGTCCACACTCTCCCCCAGTTGCTGCTTTCGCGAATTAAACTTGTACCTTTCGAAGATCGTATTTTTTTTGGGCGAAAAATATTCCGTGAATTTGTCTGTGACGGCCCTCAACGTTGTCAAATTGCTTCCTGTGGATATTTGTGCGAGAATTTCTTCAGCTTTTTCTCCCATCGTGTACAGCAATAATTTTCTCACTTTCAGCTCTGTCCTTGAGATTTGCGACGGAAATATATCGTTCGAAACGTTTCAACCACATCGCCCACGATTCGGGTTTCTCGAAATTAAACTCCGAAGGCGTTTGTACACTAGGCAGAATTGCCTTTACTTCTTGTGTGTCGTGCGGCATTTTTCTTTCTTGTCCTGCCGATACTTATCACACACTTGTATCACTCTTGAGATTTTTTTTTTCACTCTCTTTCGGTGATCCCACTTCTGACACCATGTATTGTTATCGCCGTGTAGGTCCTTGTACTCGTAATAATCACGTAGACAATATTTCTGTGTATCTCTTGCAGTGTCCTGCGACCGTGTTCCAACACGCAATCCCCGGCCCTTCCCGCCTAACCCCGGCGGTCCCTACTGACTCATATCTTGCGCATAGATGGCGCTGGGAACACGTTCACACAACACTGACCAAAACATTGTATACTTGCTGGTGCGAATGGTACGCATTCGGTCTGTGTCTGTACGATACATCAAAATTGCAAATTGATGATTGACTCTGTCAATTTAAATAATTTTACTAAAGATTCCAATGTGATTTTACATGATTATAAAGATTGCTTACGCCAAATCGTGTGCAAAAATCCTGATGAAAATTGTTATATTGGTGAATGCAGTAAATGTCCTGGTATTATTGAACTAAAAAAACATTTGAAAGAACTCTTATAGATGAGAAAGGTATTCACCACATACAGTTCAGTGTCTGGACAATAACTGACAGATCAACTCTTCAGACGCAAATTCTTCCGTCGTCGGAATTTGTCGATAAATTTTGTGACAAATTTATCATTCTAAAACCTCATTCTTTCATTGCAAAAGACAATCTCGATTCTATCAAGAAAGAAAAAAGAATTTAAAAAAAGGTGAAGTTCTTGCAGTATTAGATTTTTCTGAGAATTACAAGTATGTTGTGCAAGATGCATCGCAGGCGTTCCATTTTAATAATTCACAATGTACTGTCTTTCCTGTCGTGTGTTACTATAAAAAAGAGTTAGAACTTGAACACAAAAGTTTTATTTTTTGTCGAATAGTACACTTTATGACACAGCTGCTGTATACGAGAGCTGTATGATAAGTACCCGTGTTTAACGACAGAAAGCATCATTGACTCAAAGTCTGTATACCATCGTTTAACGTCATCTTCTAAACGACGCCAGTCAAAATTTCAAACAGATTTATCGAGTAGTTTTGTTTTGACAACTGTTGAAAGTGGACAAGGTTGTGTTTGTTTGCAACCATGGAAAAAGAGCAATATCGGTCAGTGATTCGATTCCTTTTTTTGGATGGGAAGACGTGTGAGGAAATCAAAGTGAAGTTGCATGTCGTTTATAAGGACCATGCACCTTCGATGACTACCATCAGATATTGGTTCAATGAATTTAAGCGTGGCCGAACATCCGTTTTTGATGAAGAGCGCCCAGGTTGTCCGATTGAGGTGACTACGGAGGATATGGTCAACAAAATCCATGATATCGTGTTAGCAGACCGCCGGGTGAAGACAGAGAGATTGCTGACATTGTAAACATCTCAATTGAACGCGTACAAAATATCCTACACGAAAAATTGGGCATGAGAAAGCTATCGGCGAGATGGGTGCTGCGTTTGCACAAAAAAAAACGACACCAGCTCATTCGTCCGCAATCGCCACTGCAAAACTGGTCGAATTACGCTACGAATTGCTGTCTCATCCACCCTATTCTCCAGATTTTGGCTCCCTGCAATTTCTATTTATTTCCAAACATGAAAAAATGGCTTGGCGGAAAGCGGTTCACGTCAAACAAAGAAATCATCGCCGAAACAGAGGCCTATTTTGAGGAGTTCGACAAATCATATTTTTTGGATGGTATAAAAATGTTGGAATATCGCTGGATTAAGTGTATCGAGCTGAAAGGAGACTATGTCGAAAAATAAGTAAAAAATTTTTTTTAAATGCGTTTTCTTCCCTAATACGGGTACTTATCATACAGGCCTCGTATACT